TGCGGCGGTGCCGGGCCAGCGTGGAGCCCTCCCGGAAGCTCTTCCCACACTCAGGGCACCGGTGGGGCTTCTCCCCTGTGTGGGAGCGCAGGTGCTGCATGAGGTGGGAGCTCTGTCCGAAGCGCTTCCCACAGGCGTCGCAGGCGTAGGGGCGCTCCCCCGTGTGGATGCGCCGGTGGGTGGCCAGGGCCGAGCGGACAGGGAAGCCTTTCCCGCACTCGGGACACTGGTGGGGACGCTCGCCGTGGGACCGGCGGTGCTTAGTGAGGTCTGAGCCGCGCCGGAAGCCTTTCCCGCACTCGCTGCATATGTTAGGCCGCTCCCTGGCCTGGCCCGGACTCTCCACGGCTCCACCACAGGGAGGGGATGGGTCCCGGGCGGGGTGCGGCCCAGTGCCTCGCTCACACTCCGACTCCGAGGGCGAGTTTCTCTGCTGCCTTCCTGAACCGCCCTCAGTCACACAGGCTGCTCCCTGATCAGGACTTTGCAGCTGCTCAGGGGTGTCCTGCTGCGGCCTCTCCTCCTCCTCCCTCACCATCCCCTTGGCAGCTGCAATCGAGAGAATCCAGACACGAGTCAGTGCCTCTGCGGGCAGCAAGGGAGCGTCAGGAATGGGGATGCTAAAGGGAGTGTCACAAAGGAATTGAGAGGGTCAAAAATCAGAAGCTGATTCCCCAAACCCTCCGTCCTCCCAGTGGATAGAGAGGAGGGACAGGCCTATCCCCGCAGCCTATCTGAGCACACAGGGGAAGGGAGCTCCAGCATGTCTCAGGCAGGGTGGGCGGGAAGCGCTGAGTTGCGTCCGCCATGAGGATATGACACCTGCTGGGGACAATCCTGACCTGGCTGAGACGAGGCAGAACTGGGGGAGATCCCGAAGGCTTGGATGGTTTCCAAGTTAGTTTAACTAAATCCTCACCTCTGTGGCTGCATCTTGGGACCTCCCTGTCCTCAGAGCCCTGTGGATCTGGGACCCATGGCTCCTCCCCTCCTTCCAGCTGGGAGATCACGAGGGATTTGGGAACGGGAAACCCTGCTCGGGATAGAAAATGAGAGAGGTTGAGGCTGGTATTCATGTGCTTCTCATGCAGACAGTTCTCTGCTTTCATATCAGCCCCTTTCTTTGCTGGGCAAGGGGGCACTTGAGACAAAGCAACTGGAAAATATTCATGGAGACCCACTCTGTAGGGTCACACATCCAGTGGCAGACAAACGGGGTCCTCTGCAGTCCATTTAAGGCTCTCCCATGCATGCAAGCGTGCGCACACACACACACACACACACACACGTCCCTGGGGCGTAAAAATCCACTTGCCCATTTCACAGTGTAATAGGACAGTAGACAGACGTTTTAAGGTGTACAATGGAAACCTGGTCAGCCCAGCCCAGTTCCAGGCTGCTTGGTCAAAAGACCAAGTCACTGAACTGGAAGAGCAGCCAGGAATGAATAAGGAAGCAACTGCTGACCTTAGCTTTTCCACCTGAGGCTGGAATGGTACAAGTAGCTCCAGAGAAGCTGGCGCTCTGCTTGCCAGTGATGGGCCAAGATGGCTTCCGGGAGTTCCAGGCAGTCGCCCTCAGATGTCTTTGCCCAAGAGCATGCTGGGAAATGTAGCTCACTCTGGTAGCTATGTCAACAGTGTGCCCTTGTTGCCAAGAAGGCTAATGGCATATTGGGCTGCATTAGTAGGACCATTGCCAGCAGATTGAGGGAAGTGATTATTCCCCTCTATTCAGCACTGGTGAGGCCACATCTGGAGTACTGCGTCTAGTTTTGGGCCCCCCACTACAGAAAGGATGTGGACAAATTGGAGAGAGTCCAGCAGAGGGCAACGAAAATGATTAGGGGCCTGGGGCACATGACTTACAAGAAGAGGCTGATGGAACTGGGTTTATTTAGTCTGCAGAAGAGAAGAGTGAGCGGGGATTTGATAGCAGACTTCAACTATCTGAAGGGGGGTTCCAAAGAGGATGGAGCTAGGCTGTTCTAAGTGGTGGCAGATGATAGAACAAGAAACAATGGTCTCAAGTTGCAGCGGGGGAGGTCTAGCTTGGATATTAGGAGAAACTATTTCACTAGGAGGGTGGTGACGCATTGGAATGGGTTACCTAGGGAGGCGGTGGAATCTCCATTCTTAGAGGTTTTTAAGGCCTCGCTTCACAAAGAGCTGGCTGGGTTGCTTTAGTTGGGGTTGGTCCTGCTTTGAGCAGGGGTTGGACTAGATGACCTCCTGAGTTCTCTTCCAACCCTAATCTTCTATGATTCTATGTCAATGTCCTAGACTGGGCCAAAGCATGCTGGGAAATCAGGGGAAGGACATGAATCCTGCCCTTACCGCAAAGACCTGGAACAGAGCTGGTGAGGAAATTTTTGACACAATGATTTTTTTTATCAGAAAATGCCAATTTATGGAAACCAATTTCTCAGGTCCAAGATAGAGCCTAGGGTCAGAGAGACCCATCCATTCCAATGGGTAGGGAACGTGACTGGGATCTAGATTTGAGTCCCTGGCCAGAATCTAGCAGAGCAGCAAGTTTAGTCTATACCTCCTGCACCCCAGGGAGAGCCCGGATTTCTCTCACTCTTTGTGAACTTCCCCCATTGGAGCTGTTCCACTTTGAATAAACAATTAAATATTCTTTGGGCCTACGTAAGAAAAATTGTTTCCACAGCCTGGGGGTTAGGGCACCCCAGAGGGACTGGGCTGAGCCAGGTCTCTGCTCCAAATCAGAGCCTTGCAAACAGGGAAGTCATGGGAGGGAGCTCTTCAGGTGCAGGAGGAGTGACTAGGTGATCCTGGGGGTGACTTTGTTGTGTTAGCTTGTTGTGTGCCTGCTTGATTTATGTTTATAGTGTGGTCTGTTTTGGGGGCTGTGTGCTGAGCCTAGTGGCCTGCTAGGCTAGGCTGAGACCTTACTAACGAGGCTCTAGCTGGCCATCCTTTGATCCCTTGACAAGGAGCAAGGCTAACTCAGGGAAAAGAGGGGTTTAAAAAACCTGCTCCTAAGTGACCAGAGGAGCTAGTGAACAGGGGAGTTTTGCAAGGCAACTTAGAGGGGGAGCCTGAGAGCAAGCTACGCTTAACAGACATACTCTAAACTTAGGCCAATAACCCCCCACACACACATCCCAAAAAAACCCCAAAGCAAAAACAAAACCCCCAAAGAACGAACAAGCAAACAAACAAACAAACCCAGTAAAAGCAAAAAAGAATGCAGGCAGAAGCCCAGCAGCAGTGTGGGGGCTATCCAGTTTATTACCCTGAATGAAGCATGTATGATTATCTGCCTTGTGGGTGGGTTACGGTGGCATACTTTTGCACTCGGTGAAAAGAGCTCATGGTATGGGCTGTGGAGACCAGAGTGGCTGAACTGGAGGAGCTAAGGGAGACAGAGAGGTACGTAGATGAGACTTTCCAGGACACAGCAGAACGGTCCTACCCCCAGTCTGACAGTCTCTGTGCTGCTGAGGAGGATGGAAGTCTCGGGGAAGGAGAACATCCAACTGGAGCAGAGGGAAAAGATTCCAGATGATGTCACGGTATTCCAGTTATTAGGAAGAGCCAGGTAATAGTTACAGGGAGTCGATCATTAGAAATATAGGTAGCTGGGCTTGTGATGACCGGGAGAACTGCACGGTGAACTGCCTGCCTGGTGCGAGGGTTGCAGATCTCTCAAGAAATCTAGATAGACATGTGTGCAATGCTGGGGAGGAGCTGGTGGTCCATGTAGGTACCAATGACATAGGGAAGGATAGGAGAGAGGTCCTGGAGGCCAAATTTAGGCTTCTGGGTAAGAGATTGAAGTCCAGGTCCTCTCTCTGAAGCTGAAACACTTCCTGTTCCACATGCAGGACCAGCTAGATAGGCAGAACTGCAGGGTCTCACTGTGCAGATAAAATGAGGTGTAGGGAGGAATGATTTAGGTTTATTAGGAAGTGGGGAACCTTTTAGGGAAGGGGGAGCTGTCATAAATATAAAGGGAAGGGTAACAACCTTCCTGTATACAGTACTATAAAATCCCTCCTGGCCAGAGGCACAAAATCCTTTTACCTGTGAAGGGTTAAGAAGCTCAGGTAACCTAGCTGGCACCTGACCAAAAGGACCAATAGGGGGACAAGATACTTTCAAATGGGGGGGGAAGGAGAAAGAGAGAAAGGCTTTGTTTTGTCTGTTCTTTGTCCTTGCCGGAGACAGATCAAGGAAGCAAGCAATCCAACT